ATACAGTATCCACTCAATAAATTTCTCCCCCCAGAGCTGAGCAATGGGTGTGTGAAGCGGCACACAGTGAGGGAGAATCAAGCGACAAAGGGCCAGCTGCTGCTGCAAACGCTGGTGCTGCTTTGGGAAAGCGAGTAGTGATTCATGCCGGCAAATTGATTCATTTCTTGTGCTGATAAGCACCTTTTTTTTTCTTTGTACCCTCATGCTGCAACGGCTTTGAAAAGAGCCGCTGAGAAACACGTCTCCATCGCCACAGCGTACAGGAACAGGGTGGGCACACAATGACAGCAACATCTTACAATGTGCAGCGGTGCAGTCCAGGTCAACGTCACAAACTACAGCTTCGACAGTCGGCGTTTGGTACGAACTGCACCTTTCTGAAAGCTGGAAACTTTGCTGCAGAGCTTTTTGTGTTGGGCTTTCACTGTGTTCTACATCTATTTACTTTGTAATTGCTATTTTATGCCGTAATCTCAGCAGTTTATTGCTGTGATTGCAGCTGCATGACAATCTGTGCGTGCACCTGTGTGTGTGTGCAGCATGTGTTTGATAAGTACACAGCAGGTATGTCTCTGCTTTGAGGAAATGGAAGCTTTGACCAGCCCTTATCAGTACTAAGCAGTCCGTAGCAACAAACCAGGCAGCAAAATCCATCCTACGAGAGCCCACTGGACAGCCAGCACTACACATCTTAGCTCTGCTTCTCCGCAGGAGATCACCTGTGATGCAAGCAACTGGACTTCTCACCCAGCGCTCAGCATCAGAGGTAGGCGAGCACATGTCAGCCGACACAGGGAGTTAGATCAGCGCAGCAGTGGTATGTCTGTGGGAGCAACTGAAGGCAGATATAGACAGGTAATATATCAAAGGGCAAATCTGTACCCTTGATCGCTGCAGTGAGAGGAGCCCTTTTATGCAATGGAGTGGGAAGGGTGCCTTGCAAATCAATACAAAGTTATCTTGTTTAGACTTTTTCTATAATGAAGCATCCTAATAGGAATGGTCTCTTTCAGGACATCCATACAGCACGAGGGGTCAATAAATGATTTGATGAATGAAAATGAAATCGAGTCATATACTTCAACCTCTCCAACTAAAAGATTCCAACCAAGTTGAATATATACAGTTTGTTTTTTACCTGTTTACTGAAACATATTCCTGTTATAGTTATATAATAAGCTTGGACATAATGTGTAGACTCTCAGCTTTCATTTGAGGGTATCCACATTCAAATTAAAAGAAGGGTTTAGGAGTTTCAGCTCCTTAGCATGTGCCACCCTCTTTTTAAAGGGTTCAAAAGTAATTGGAAAATTGACTCAAAGGCTATTTCATGGGCAGGTGTAGGTAATTCATTTGTTACAATTAAGCAGATAAAAGGCCTGGAGCTGATTTAAGGTGTGGTGCTTGCATGTGGAAGATTTTGCTGTGAATAGGCAACATGCAGTCAAAGGAGCTCTTCATGCAGATGAAACGAGCCATCCTTAATCTGTGAAAACAGAAAAAAAAAAAAACATCTGAGAAAATACTACAATATTAGGGGTGGCAAAATTTACAGTTTGTTACATCCCAAGAAAGAAAGAAAGCACAGGTGGACTCCACTGAAGACAACAGTGGTGGATGATCGCAGAATCATTTCCATAGTGATGAGAAACCCCTTCACAACAGCCAAAGTGAACGACACTCTCCAGGAGGTAGACGTATCCATATCCAAGTCTACCATAAAGAGAAGGCTGCATGAAAGTAAATACAAAGAGTTGACTGCAAGATGCAAGCAATGCATAAGCCTCAAGAATAGAAAGGCTAGATTGGACTAAAAAAAAAAATCTTTAAAAAAAAAAGCCAGCACAGTTCTGGAAAAACATTTTGGACAGATGAAACCAAGATCAAGCTCCACCAGAACGATGACAAGAAAAAAGTATGGAGAAGTCGTGGAACAGCTCATGATCCAAAGCATGCCACATCATCTGTAAAACACGGTGGAGGCAGTGCGATGGCTTGAGCATGCATGGCTGCAGGTGGCGCTGGGACATTAGTGTTTACTGATGATGTGACACAGGACAGAAGCAGCCGAATGAACTCTGAGGTGTTCAGAGACATACTGTCTGCTCAAATGCAGTCAAACTGATTGGGCGGCGTTTCATAATACAGATGGACAACGACCCAAAACATGCAGCCAAAGAAACCCAGGAGTTTATTAAAGCAAAGGAGTTGAATATTATTGAACGGCCAAGTGAGTCACCTGATCTTAACCCAACTGAGCATGCATTTCACTTGTCGAAGACTAAACTTTGGACAGAAAGGCCCACAAACAAACAGCAACTGAAAGCTGCTGCAGTAGAGGCCTGTCAGAGTAATGAAAAGGAGCAAACTCAGCATCTGGTGAAGTCCATGAGTTCAAGACTTCAGGCGGTCATTGCCAGCAAAGAGTTTTCCACCAAGTATTGGAGATGAACATTTTATTTTCACTTATTTAATTTGTCCAATTACCACTGAGCCCCTGAAATGAAGGGATTGTGGGGGGTTTTAAATGCTTTTCCCCCTCACCTTTTATGCAATCTTTTTGTTCAACCCACTGAGTTAAAGCTGAAAGTCTGCACTTTAACTTCATTTGAGTTGTTTCATTTAAAATTCATTGTAGTAATGTATGAAAACAAATATTTATGGACCTAGCAGTATGAGGTATTTTTACCTCACTACCACACTATCATCAAAACTCTAAATAGGAAAAAGAATGGGGTTACGTACCACCAATACATTTCCATAAACTTGTAGAATCAATGCCAAGGTGCACTGAAGTAGTTCTGGTGGGACATAGTAGCCCAACACCTTACTAAGACATTTAGGTTGTGTTTTTTCTTTTTCCTTTTTCCTCCTGTCTGTTTGCCACCTGAGATTTACATACACAAATCCTTCATTATGAGTAAAGGGTGTAAGGTCCTAGCTTCCCCCCTGTTGTTATATCCTTCATTTCTCAGCAAGGCCAACTTTTGGAAGCTTCGCCCACACACTCCCACACGAATCAGTTTTAAATGTCAGCCATGTAAAATTGGTTCTGTCCCAAAAATTGGACCTCATTCTGTGAGCTCATGTGATGGATTCAAGTCAGTCATTGCAGCTTGCTGAGGTAGGAATAAAGTTCATTTTTTCCTTTTTTAAAAGACTTACTAAGATAAAAGGTAGAATAACTGCCTAAGGCCAACAGAAGCCTTTCTTCAAGTCCTGCAGAGCCGCTGCAAAGTTCCCATCAATCCTGCACACTGACTGTAAAATGCATGTAGAGGATAAGAAAAGCACAGTGTTGTAATAATGTGGTATAGTGTGTTTTCTGACTTCAACACTGGTCGTTTGGCAATTAAATATTTGTATAAATTATTACATTAATTTAGAAAGTAGTTTTCTTGTACTAACACGTCTGAAAATGCTCATCACATGGGCACTCACATACACTGGGAATCCCTTGCCCCTGTCCTGGAGTTTTCAAACTACGAGAGTCTATGTGCGACCTGAAAGTACTCACATAACAGTTTCTCTCACAGTAGCCTTTCAGTTTTATGCAGGGTGCCGGTGGTTTCAGTGTCTCACTTTTTTAGGGTTTAGAGGTCTGATGGAATTGAACCTAACATTTTCATCCCTAACACAATGGCAGTGCTTTTAACAGACAGGTTCACTATTTACCATCACAACTAAGTGTTTAAACTGCTTTAGTTTAATCCTAACCCTAGCTCCAAAATCTCCTCAAACTGGTTCTCAGAAAGCCAGGCACAGAGGTTGTCTGCAGATATACTGACACACAGATGCACAAGCACATGCGCACCCAGACATACCCCGCCTACCCCGCCCGTCTCACATACGCACGCTTGAAAATGTCAAGCCGTCTGGATGAAACAGTCACCTGAGCCACAGCACCGGTCTCACCCTCCTTTGGACAGCCATTATCAGGCGCAGTGCGAGGTTGTGCGTGCATCCCCATTTGTGTGTGTTAAAATTACATTTCTCTTAAATGTGCTCCAATGTATCCCTTTTTGTTAAATATGTATGCTGTGTGTACAGTTTAGTGGAGAAATGGTGACTGAATGTTTGTGGAAGCGGGCTGTCACGGACTAATAAGGAGCTGCTTTGGTTGTGGCAGTCAGATGGACAGATGAGGCGACTATGATCTAACCATGTGAAGCCTGATCTACTGTCAACTGTCGAATCTGCATTTCCAGAAGGACAACAGGTGAACGTTTGGTCCTTTGTTGATGTGACACCAGTGTTCACAAAGGAATTTTTGCAGTCTGTTTCTTAGACACACACAAACTCAGACACACACGCTGCTCGGTGAAAATGAGCGGTGTATGTGCCAATCCAATGCAAATCCTGCAGGTTTTTTTCTGCAGGTAACAGCAGACGTGTGATTGACGCCTGTGAGACCTTATTTGTCTTGGTGACAGAGCCTCACAACGCTGCACGGAGAAAACGCATCACGCAGACAGACACGGCGGCTCACTCTGGACATATCTGTGAAGGTCCCTGTTATAGTTGCTGGTTCTCTTGTGCTTCTCTGTGTTTCTAGTTCCTCCTGCCCAGCTCTGCTGTCATGCTATTGTTACTCTTCATGTTTCACGATTAGTTACATGTCTTTTGGTTGCTTTCTTTCTTATTTTGAAGGTTTATTTTCTTACACCTGTTGTATTTCTAGATGTCGGCTTTTGGTCTATCCTTTTGTAACTGAGCTTTGTGTCTGCATTCGGGTCCTTACTCATGTCCAAAGAGTGTCATGATCCTGAGTCTTTGAACCCATATTTTGAGTTTTGTGTTCTTTATCCTATGTTTTATGTTATTATGTTTTGGATTTTGTGTGGGGTTACAGTTTCTGGATAGGTTATGTCGGTCCATGAGCTGGTTTCCCCTGTGTCTAGTTGTTAAGTCCCCATTAGTGTTCGTCAGTTTCATGTTTTATTTTTTCCCTGTTTTATTTCACCAGTCATTCGTTTTGTGTGCTTTTGATCACTTTTGTGTCTCATTAGTATTCTGTTCAGCTGTCTCATTTCCCCCCAGCTGTGTCTGCTTTCCCTAATGTGTGTATTTAAACCCTGTTTCCTAGGGTTGATACTTTGTTTCTATTGCGCTAGTATCAATTTGAAACCAATATCATCATTGGTATCCATTCTATCGATATTTAGATCCACCGATCTCTATTACTGGGTGCAAAACCTGCCTGCTGCACAGTGAATAGTGACACAAAGAAAGAAGGAAGAACAGGAATGTGTGTTTAGAGGTTTTTTAATATTAACTATAAAAAAAAGTCCACTTCCTCCACCAGATTCTACATAAAATAATTCACTGTCACCAAATTAGAGGTTTCACAATTCTGAAAAATAGTTACCTACCACACACAGTAGCTCAAACACACAGTTTACATCCTGTTGGTCAACAATGTTTAAAAAAAATACAGCAGTAACACGGACGTTATCATGTACAGTAGAATTACTTTTCTTTGAGGGCATCATCAAAGATGTAAAAATATAGCTGCCACATCTGAAAAATGTAGCAGAGTCAAGATCAAAACACTTTATATACAGTCAACAAAAAAGCAGCTGGAACCACCACTGTGAGCTGATATTAGCTTCAAAGTCATTAAGGTCACGGGCATTTTCCACTCGTCATAAAATGAGGCACACAGAGCAGAACTCAAACACACGATTAATATCATAAACGGTTGGTTTAATATTCTTTTCCACGCGGCTTTGTTTGGTGTCAGTAATTCTCACAGACTGTAGATAAAAGAAGGACGTAGTGAAGTCATCCATTGGTTTCTGGACTTCAAATGGATCCTATTTTGGTCGGGTTTATTACCATTTACTCGCTTTTAGAGCCTCAAGTGGCTGTTAGAGAAACTGCAGTTTAAAGCACTTGCATGTTGGATAAACTTCTTCGGACGGCTGTTTGGATTACAACGATGTTGTGGAAACACAATAATCGTGTTTCCACAACATGCTATCACAATAACCATTACATATTATAAGAATTAAGTATCTCCAAAGACAAGAATTACCAGCTTGGATAAAATACTTTATTTTTTAATTATGCAAATTATATAAATTGTATAAATTGACTGTTAATGTAGTGAAATTACTGAATATTTTTTTAGTTTCTCCCAAATCCAAATTTTTCAAAATATACAAGGCAAAAATGTAAAAACAGAGAGTTGTTTTGCTAATACATAAAAGCCAACAAAGGACTTAATGTGGTTCCAGCTGACTTGCACTGACACACAGTTTTGTCAAAATGAGGCATCACCTGCTGAGTTTATTCATTTATTTATTTTTACCTTTTACCATCTTTAACTTTATAAAATAAGTTCACAAAACAATCAACTCTCTGAGTGGTGATGATTTTAACACAGAGCATGAATTGTGTTTGGAGTTGACAGAAATATTGAGCAGAGTTGGAAGAAACTGGTGTTTTACAACTTCAAGTACAGAAACCTGCTTTTCTCTAGCTTACCATATGCGAACTGGACATTTAAAAGTCAAGCTAAGAGAGCTATCTCCTGCTGTGTTTTTGAAAAAAAAAACGAACGATACACATTCACATGGGACGTGACATTTATTTTTCAGGTCTTTGTCTTTACTCTGGAGCGCTCCTCCTCTCAGTGAGCCCACTCTGTTTTGCTGGCCAGCTTCCAGCAGCTGGCAGCTCTGGAGGCTAAAACAACAATAGCATTTCGCATCCTGTTCTTTGCGCAAAATGTTAACTCCTTAAATACATTCATCTGCCAAAAGCCCAGTGAACAAAAACCACAGAAACGATGGATGTCTGTGGCCTTGTCTGAACAATTCGACAGCAAGTAGAGGTAATTTGTTGCCAGTGGCACGACGAAGCTTGTGAGGGAGCATTTTTGAATCACAAAGTCCAAAATGTCCTCTTTAAGTACCTAAACCAGCTTTAGCAGATTTTTTGGACGCTCTGGCCATAATATTAAGCAAACAGTTGGCTATTTTTACATCATAAGAGCACAATAGGAGCCAGTCAGGATTTAGAGTCTCTGACAGATGGATTCCCAACGCGAAGCTGCTTTACAGAAAACACTTTAATTAGTGTTTGACTAAAAAACTGCAAGTTTGTTAGTTAAAAGAGAAGATGAGAAGTTAAAAAAACTGAAAAAAGTGAATCTAAACAAACCTCAATACTTTTAAACTTTCCTTCATCTGGTTTTTGGAGTTTATACAGTTTATACAATTTTTACTTCAGTCCAGATTCACTCCAACATATAGTCTGTAGTTTCTTTCCACATTTATGTCATTTAATGATTTAAATGATGGGGCGATCGTGGCTCAAGAGTTGGGCGTCCGTCTTGTAATCGGAAGGTTGCCGGTTCGAGCCCCGGCTCCGACAGTCTCGGTCGTTGTGTCCTTGGGCGAGACACTTCACCCGTTGCCCACTGGTGCTGGTCAGAGGAGTGTCCGGCAGCCTCGCCTCTGTCAGTGCGCCCCAGGGCGGCTGTGGCTACATGTAGCTTGCCATCACCAGTGTGTGAATGGGTGGATGATTGTGTGTAGTGTAAAGCGCTTTGGGGTCCTTAGGACCAAGTAAAGCGCTATACAAATACAGACCATTTACCATTTAAGAGCAACTTACGGCCACTAAAGTCAAAAGTAAGTCTATACTGCTGTCACGGCTGACTCAACAGGTGGCAGTTGCAGATTTGATGGCAACTGTGCTGAACAGATGTGTTGAATACAGATAACATGAAAGAAATACTGGCAGTGAAAGATAACTGTAATCAATAGGGATTTTGGCACGCCGGCGGATGTTTTTCAGAAACAATCGAGGACAGCGCTGTGACAACAATCGCCCACATTCAGGGCATCTAATAAAAAAAAGAGTGCAGTAGTTCGTAACTCATATTGCCCATACAGCTCATAACAGTAACGCTTTGTGTTTACAGTTTGCGTTGGAGTGTGCATTGGCTTCTACGGTGCCTGAATGGGACTGGAAGATACACATAAAGCCCTTAAAATGTGTGACAGTGGTGTTGCATTCGTGTGTGGCCCCATCTCCACTTGTAAAAGTCATTACTCTGTTAATGGCGGCACAGCACTTCATAGCATCTCTGCTCCCGCTTCAATTATGGATCAATTCAGTCGCGGCATGACCCGAACGCCTCTTCATCTTAAAAAAAGAAACATCAAATTGGGCAAAAAAGCTGCAAGCTGAGAGAAACGAGAGAGTTTACTGGCTCCTCGTCATGTGTTTCAAATACTTCCTGAACAGAAGAAGGGGATGAGAGTAAAGTTGTGATAGTCGTGGTGATGAAAGGAAAGTGCTTTCAATCTCCACTTGCGCCTTAATTAAAATGAAGAATGAGAGGAGGACGAGGGGCACAAAAATATTAAGCCTGATGTTCTGACTTCTGCAATTTAGAAGGAATTTTATGTGGAAAAGAGAAATCCCATTTTGGCTTTCACTCATACAAGTAAAATGTCCACAAAGAGACACGAACCATCTTTCCTCCTGGCTTTCATTGCCTGGTAAAAGTTCAGATGATCCCATAGTCCCTTAGAGACTTGAGCAGCACGGTGTCCTTCACGTCGCTGAAGACCCTGCGGATGTTGTTGGTATCTGTGGCACAGGTGAAGTGGGGGTACAGAGTCTTCCACATCTCCCGGTTGTTGTGGGTGACGGCCTGCTGCTCGTACATCTTGCGGATGAACTTCATAGCGTCTTCGGGGTCATGTTTCCTGCCTGTTGAAAAGTGGAGGTGAAAGATGGAAGTGGACAACAAAGAGATGAATTTGGGTGGAATAAACCGACTGATGGAGAAGAACAAAGACATCAGAGAATTTTAGATTTACTTGTCACTAAGCATGAGATGGAAATTAGATTAATCAACATGGCAAAACATTTTCAATTTCGAATTTAGAGGTGGCTAAAGTTGCATAGAAGGATATCAGCAGAGCGATCACAATGGCATGCAGAGCTTGACTCCAAGGTCTGCCTGAACTAACACTACGTTCGACTTTATTCTATCAGCAGATGAAAAAACCTCCCTGCAAATAATATATTTGAAAAACCGTAAACGGCGATCATTTAGAATACTTTCTTGATGATAACAATACCATTTCTAAACATTTCACTGCAAGTTCAAATCAGCTTTAAAAACAGTAGAAGACTGCAGGGATTATTAACAGGTATAGCCTTCAGAAGTAGTCACTGTAGCAGTAATAAGGACCACACAGTGCCTGCACTGGAACACAGCCACATTAGCGGCAAATAGCAGCCAGTGCTAGGAGCTGTTCACAGTTGTCATTAAGGTTAAATTGACATCAAAGAGCTTGACCCTGTGTGAGTCATTATTTTACCCCGCTAATGCTAGTGGTAAAACAAAGTGTGTGCACCGCACATACACATGTGCAAATTTTCACTTTCAGTCACTCATTTCAATCTTCCACACACACACACACACACACACTTGTACACCTGGGGGTATTCAGGTGGGGGTGCAGGAAGGCCAGTATCTGTCTGTGGTTGCCGTTGGTTACAGAGAGAGAGCGGAGGTGTGTGGGGGTGAGGGGGGCACCCTACTGCCTCTAACAGCAGCAGAGTTAAAGGCTGCAACCTCGTCATTAAGCACACAGAGTACCTGAAGTGACTCATCTACAAGAAAGACATAAAGAAGGAAGGAAGGAAGGAAGAAGAGACGGAAGAAGTAGGAAGAATGGACGGAAAGATAGAAGGAAAGAAGCAAGGATGAGGGCAAAGATGGTGAGCAATAAGGAAGGGAGGCATGAAGAGGGTAAATATGGGAGAAAAAAAAGGAAGAGGCCAAGGAAGAAAGAAAGGAAGACAGGAAGAGGGTAAAGATATCCGAAAGGGGGAGGAAGAGGAGAAAGATGGTGAGAAAGGAGGGAGAAAGGAAGAAGGAACAGAAGGAACAGAATAAAGAAAGCAACAAGGAAATGCGAAAGACTGCAAAGATGCTAAGAAGGAAGGAACGAATGAAGTAAGTAAAGAAAGAAGATGATAAGAAAGTAGAAAGGGAAGGAGCAGTGAAAGAAAAGCAAGAAGAGAAGAGCAAAAAATGTCTGGTGGCCGTGGTGAGGGCGACAGAGGGAGACTTTCAAGCTTGGAATTAGAAAATGAAATCACTTTGCACACACGTTTTTGGAAATGACACATTTTGTGCCAGGTGTAGAAGGGCGTGATGAAATTGTTGCATGCTCAAAGCAAATTGGCTGAAGCGAAATAACATCACAGCCCTCGTGTCTCGGACATGATTGTGTCCACGCTGCGATGGGAATAAACGCTTGCAAACAATGAGCTGCAATTGTAATTGTTGATGGCAGTGAAATCTGGCTGCTGACTTGGCTCAGTCTGCATTCAATGCTGCTGTGATTTCTTATTTGAATGTCTGAAACCTCCACGTTGAGGCTGAGTGTCGGACTGATTCACAAATATCAAACCCTTAGTGCTCACAATGCTCCCCGCCATTATTAAATCCACCGCAACTTCAGCACAGGCACTCGCAGACATCTTACAGTCTGACCAAATCTTCACAAAAAGCCTTCAAATCAACTAAAATACTTGGAATATGTTTTTTTCTTTCTTTTTTTACAAATTGTTTGATCAGTTGTCCGATAGTTGCTAGCAAAACTTCAACACACCCTCACCCTAAATGCAAACAAACAGAAGACCAGCTGACCTGTGAAACCGGGGAAGTATTTCTGCAGGTCTGATGTTTTCATTTTATCAGTCAGGATGTCAGTCTTGTTGAGGAAGAGGATGATGGAGGTGTTGAGGAACCACTGGGAGTGAATGGTGGTGTAGAACAGAGCCAGACTCTCTTGCATGCGGTTCTGGGGAGGACACAGAGCATTATCACAGAGGCAGGGAGAAAACAGTCCTTCAAAGAGAGGAAATAGGTTGTTTATGGGCAGCATATGGACCACAGTGGAGGTTAATAAATGCGATGGCAGACCAGAAAGTGTCTGGGAGAGATAAACGGATCAGTGACAGGATGGGAGGGAAGAAGAAGGCGATAGGGGGCTGCAGAGGCTGAGAGGAGATAAGAGAGAGGCTTTGTTGTACAAGAGCGAGACCTGCTGGTGAAACGATGGAATGACTGTAGTGAGAGACACATTTATGACTCTGGTACACATATATATACTTTGTTCTTTATTAACAAATTACAAAACTCCCAAACATAAGCTAAACAACCCAGTGTATGCTGTGTGTAAATGTACATGTGCTGTGTATTTTGCACAATCTATGTCCAGTGTGAACGGCCATCTTTAAACTGAGGTGGTGTCTGCCACCTACAGCGCAGGCTTGAGATCCCTTCAACCCCCGATCACACCTTGCCTCAGGTGACCACAATATGTCACATGATGGGTTGGGGCAAGGTCTCTCTGTGCTTTCACCCTTAAGCTGTTTTTTTGTTTTTTTTGGCTGAGCAGAAGTCTGCCTGCAGTGAGCTCTGATGTCGGATGGAGGCAGTGTACAAAACATGTGGTACAACCGGTCTGTGGGCCACTGTTGCTAGTGTTTTTGTTGGGTCACCAGCCAGCCGAGGAGAAGAGCGACGTTACAACATATAAGGAGCTAAAGTGAAAACAGAGTGTTGCAAACTCCCAAGTTCTGACTCGGGTAACCGAAACACGGCATTGCGACACCATCCGTCAGCCACCTACAACGCAGCCTCGATAACCCTTTCCAGGACCTTCAACCCCCGATCACACCTCGACTCAGGTGACCTCGATAGGTCACATGGTGCGCTGGAGCAAAGTCTACGAGTGTTTTCAACCTTCAACATTCTCATTGAAGGTAATAACCCACGCCTTTTTTTTTTCATGTGATGTTGCAGATGATCAATAGTGGGTCAACAACCCTCAGAAGACAACCCCTCATAAGGCTAAATACTTCGAACTCCTCTCTTAAATACCTGGGATGAGAGGTGAAGCATCTTTGCAAACCTAAAGAAGTCCAGTTACCTGGATGGCTGAGCACCTACATATAAATATTCCAAGCACCTTAGAATAGCTGGTAAACTATCCGGTAGATAAATCTGCACAGATCCTGTTATTGTGTTCATTTTCTGCAGCTGTACACTGAATGAGAGTCACAGGAGTTCTTACAGTCGTGTCTTTCTCCTCCAGGACTTGGTCATACTCGCTGAGCGACGCAAGGAAGATGAGGGAGGTGACGTTTTCAAAGCAGTGGATCCACTTCCGTCGCTCCGACTTCTGACCGCCAACGTCCACAATCCTATCAAGGATCAGAGGAAGGAAACGTGTAAAAGAACAAACAAAGGACAAATTGCCAAATGACCGTGAGCTGCTGAAGCGCCAAACGCGAGATCGAGCAGGGATCTCACTGGAGATGTGCTTACTTCTCCTGCCCAACAAAGTAACACTGTAATGCCAACAATGATAGTGATCGAGACAGTGAGGCATCTGGCACACCTAGGAAAAATGCAAAAACTATGACAGAACCCTGCACGAGCAAATCACACAAGAGGCATTCATTAACGTGCAGGTTTTCCTGTGTCCCTGCGTACTTGATGTGAGCTAATTCCTTTGTTAATATTAAATCAATTAAGTACTAAAATTAGCAAATTAAGCAAATGAATATAACAAGTATCCACATTGGAACAGGTGCCTGCGAGAGGTGAAGTATGGCATCCAATTTATTCAACAAAGATGTTCACTGCATAAAATAGTATTCATTATTACAGCATGTCTTAATGGATACTAATTTATTTAATCAGGCCTTTTTATAACTGGCCGTTTTGTGTCCACCTTTTGAAAAACTACGTCACACCTAGCAACGGGGTCAGCCACACCTCGTCACTGAGCTCAAGGTTCCCTTCCATTGCTCCGAGCATTTCCCAAACCACTTACAGCTGTACCCAAGATGCACTACAAATTAAGAAAACCTTCGTGAACGCCAAGGTGCTTATGTACAAATGCAAGAAAAACAAGCCCTTCCCACTCTTTCAGTGCTTACACGGTGCCCTCACATCAGTAATGTGCTAATAAGCTGCGATGTGAAGTGGAGATGTCCTTCTTAGAACATGACGCACTTTATTAAAGGACAAAAATGCCTCTTTGCCTTTCATTCACTTTTTTATTTTGCCATTAATTTATCCAGATGTATTTTCTCTTTAGTTTAAAGTGCATCATTATTTTCATTTCCAGCTCCATATTTGTATTCTTAGAGTCTAGCAGAAGAGCTCTGCATGATTCACAGTTTTAAATAAAGCTTATTTTGGTCACCTGCTTGTTGGGATTGCTGTGCTGAAAGCCAAGGATGCCCTCCCTCTGTGACATCATAAAGATTCAAGAGTAAAAATAACTGCCTGACACAAAGTCTGTGATCTTTTGGCTCATAGGGATTACTTGTACACGCACAGTGAAACTTTGGCCATGTTTAATATCAGCACTCCCCCTCTGTAACAGTATACATGTGAAAGAAAGTGAAGAAAGGCTTTTACTAGGTCAACTTTAAATGCTTTTAAGAGTTATTATTTTATGATAATATGTTGGAACACAATGTCCTTTAGAAATAAGCTTTGGATCTGTTGTCAAAGCTTAGTCTGACTGCCTACACATTTTCAAAATAAAACCCACATGAAGTCTGCACAGAGGCAATCAGAAATGCGATCCTATTGCGTCCAAGCTGGCGTGAGCAGACAAAGCCTCTGCAAGAGTCAATAGTATTTTTTTCACAGTGCAGTGAATAGTGAAGGTATTGGATTTGCCCCTGTGAGAGGTTAGAAATCCGAGGATTGGTCACCTTAGTGTGATGGTATTGACGGTAAAGGAGTAGTCGTGGATGCCCGTGGTGGGGAATCGAACTCTCAGCACGTCCTGTTCCGTGGGGATGTAGTCCTGGGAGGTGATGCGGTCCAGATTATTCATGTAGCTGAAAGAGAGACGCGATGGGGCCGAAGAGAGAAAAAATATTACAACGGCAAAAAAAAAAATCTGTTTCTCACACTAGAGGATATTTCTACTGAAACATATTGCCTCTGTTTACTTTGCATCCGGCAATGACAGGTGAACCGGTGATGACAGAAAAGAAAAAAACTGATTAAAAATGCAAGAAGGGAATGGAGCAAGTCCACATCAACCTGTGTACAGACCACAGCTTTATGGCTCATGTTGATACAAGCTGTCATTAGCTAATGTTGACTGCCTGTCCCTTATCAAGCACGCACCGCGATGACTGAACTGCCGGGTAAACACAGACCAGAACAGCAGTATAAAAGAGAGAAAACATGCAGGCTGAGCCCACACTTTGTTCTGTGACACTTGAGATACTTTTAGCGTAAGGCTCACACCTACTGTGTCTTTCCCCGTTGATAATAAAAACCCTGTCTGAGGTTAGCTCTACACTGTGGCTTAAAATGGTTTTTGTGATGTAGCTATAAAACCTGAAGACTCCTCCGTGAGCGCGACGTACAATTTCAGTGAGTAAAGCAGAGGTGGAAAATGGAAAAAATGACACAGTTAGGGCATAAATCTGAAGGGATCCTAGAACTTATCAAACTGGAAAAAGTTGGTCGATAAAATATCCAGTCATCCAGGTCATCATAGTCTAAGGAGCTTGGAAAGAAAAGCGTCTGGACTCCTTTAAGTTGCTTGAAGACGTTTCACCTCTCATCCGAGAACTGAAATAGCTTCTCGGATGAGAGGTGAAACGTCTTCAAGCAACTTAAAGAAGTCCAGACGCTTTTCTTTTCTTTCCAAGCTCTTTAGACTGCTCAACTCACTGTTTTAGCCAACATAAAAACCTTCAAATAACATCTTTGGTATTTAAATGAATACCAAAGACGTTATTATATCGTGACAACGTTAAAAAAACAGCAAAAATGGAAACCCCAAACAGCGTAGAAGGAGCACTTTAATCTCTTCCTGTCTAAATGTAGCACATTCACTGAAGAGGACAGCTGTTATTAGTATGACTACAACGGATGACGGGTTTGTTGTGCTCATCTTTTGTTGCATCATTTGTGTAACAGCTTTAACAGAATCAGCATCACCGACTCTGTTTTATGGCTGTGATGTTACACCTTTATGTATTACTTATTTATTAAGACTTTTTCAGAATCAGAATCAGAATGGGGTTTATTGCCAGATGTTGAGGTTTACAACATTAGGAAATTGCTGCGGTGCTTCAGTGCAAACAATAAGAATTAAAGTGCTATGTAGAAAGAAAGATATGTGCATGAGATATACATGAGATATATACATGAGAATAAGAATTATGAGTGCTACGTGCTTTCAGACTGATAATAAGCAACGGCACACTGACTGAATGCCATGCCGTGTCTCTTGTTGAAAGAAATGAAGGTTGTTCATTTTGAACTGAAGGTTTTGTAGCCATTTCTGTTTTAAGTTGGATTTTTTTCCCCAAACAACAGCCTAAAATAAGGAGTTAGAATTATTTACTTTGTGATTTGAGTGTTTTTCTTGGCTCTGGGATGTTAAAAAATTAGCAGCTCGATCAATAATGATGATAACAAAATCTAAATAGTTACAAAATTACCAGGCTACCTACACATTACACCAACAGGAGCTGCTCAGCCATTGAAACCATGCTATGAAGCTCCAGGCACACAGTTTTTGTCCAGATGTTAAAAAGGTTCAGGAGGTTTAGGACTGCGCTTCAGCACTCAGAGACCGCGCTCTGCAGCATTACATGGTTTGAGACTTTATGGCTGAGTTGCTCTGGTTCCTAAATGCTTCCACGCTGCCACTTACAGTGGATCGTGGAATATGCACAAGGGAAAAAACTTCACAGACTGACTTGTTGCAGTGGTGGCATCCTCTCCGGTCGTTAAGTCTGACGTCACTAGCCGCGTCTGGGCCTAAACTCCGCTGCAGGTCCATATATCAAACGATCACTATGGCATTACTGAGAGTTGAAAAACTGTCTAAAGTCTTTCATCTTTAATAAAATGATCAGCGTTCTGCTCTACCAGGTGTAACAATTGAGTTTAACATCCAGGCATCCATGAAAACGGAATTTATGACATTTAACGGAGTTAGAAGTTAGCAGGGAGTTAGCTCGCTTCTATCTAAATACAATATAGCATGTCCTGACTGCGGGGTTTAGGAAACAAATTCAAACGTACAGCTCTGCTATCACTTCCAGCATAAATGAAGACAGAAAACTAAACAGCAGTGACGTTTGTAGGGTTACTGAAGTTTGGCTAGCTGGTATATAATGATGTGCTACGTGACCGCTAGCGACACAGCTATGTTAGCATAATATAAACAAGCTAACTTTTTTTCCACTCGATAAAAGTTAACGTGAGTGTTCTCGGTGGTCAGGAACAAATGTAATCGCATGGCATGGCAGGATGCTGTAAAAGGACCAAACTTCAGCCAGGAGAACAACTGAGATAATCCATCCACAATACGAGGTTAGTCATTCATATACTGCTGCATGGGCTGGGCTGTAGCTACATCCTAAGGTTTTAAAAACTGACCTTAAATAAATGATTAGCGGTAATAAAAGCCGAGGGAGGTCAACAGTGATCACTGACTGTTTTAGGAGCTTTTTGAGATTAAATAGAAGAAAATACATAACATTAAACATGTTAACAACACAAAAGCCATATTAAACGCAGACTACTTTAGACCCGGAAGTAGGATTCATCATGTCATCACTTAACGACCGGATTAAAACACCACGCTTGGATTCGGTAAGCTCTTAAGAACGACCAGTTCCTTCACAAATGTTTATAAAGGCTGACTTCAAGCCTACCGTAGGTGCCTGATTTTATGCCCTTGTGGCAATGAGGCTAAAAGCACCTGAATTCAAAGATTAAGAGGAGGTGGCGGCCACTACGTTTTGTCTATATATGGTCATCCCCTTTTCCCCACAGATATCGACGTGCACTTTCTTCCAAACTTGCCGTCTATCATCATTTCCCATATCCTGATATTGTTGTTGGTGCTTTGTTGTGACAGCATTTCATCATGTGATACTGCGTCCCAGCCCTCACAGAGGGTGTGGTGCAGCTTTGACTTCTAGCAAAGCACAGCTACTCACTACTCTGTAGAGTCCAGGAGTTGGTACTCGCAGCGGCGGCTGTAACAGGCACGTATTCCCGAGTCTGCCCAGAGGCGGCGGATTGCGTCAACATGGCCCCGTTCCAGTTGGGTGACCTGTACTATGCTTACGTCCTCCAGCCTCTTGGCGTAAATCTGGAGGACAGCACAAGATTCTCAGTGTGAGGAGATTTCATGATGAATGCTTAAAAAACATTGAATACAAAGCTTTTTAACATCCTGTGTAATTAATCCTTCAACAGATGCTTTGCACCAAGGATTTGTGCATGTTTATAGTAAAACCACCAGCTATTTATAGGCTACAGAACGCTATGCACGTATATTGGTGTCAGCGTGTTTCATGCTTCTTCTTCAATGTGGGCGTAATCCTACAAATCCTGGGAGTGCACTTCTGGTCAGACGCCTGCACACCTGCGCTGGCGCCCGTGTTTATGAATAAGCGTTGATGTGTAACTGGGTGTGTCCGTGTGTGTTTATGCATCTACCTCGTTCTGTGGGTTGGAGTAGGGAATTCTGAGCGTGGCCATCGCTCCTGTCATTGCAGTCATGGCAGTTAAGATATTCTGGTAGATGCATTTGGCGAAAGCCTTCCTCTCCTCCTCTGAGTAGCCTCGTCCGTGAATGATCCTCATCTGTCGGATGAAGGTGGTTTTTCCACTCTCCCCAGTCCCTGAGGCAGCAAACAGAACAGCTAATAATTTACATTTAAAGCAGAAATCCTTCATTCAGGTTTCCTCAGAGCAAAGATGAGATCGAGTTAACTGAAAATAACGGTGCTTTAAAAATGGCCAGATATGCACTGCATTCCCATGGAAAAAAATGGAGACGCTGTAATTGTGAGAGAAGGTTAAAGCACTTATCTGTGAGCAGTATATTTAAGAGGATGGGACGATGGTGCTACCTGAGTTAATGTAATTCATACATTCATACATGAACACAACTCCCGTCCATTTCCAAGAATACTTCAGCACCTTTCAGACAAAAAAGGCTGCAGAGCTCTTCTCCCTCAGACTGATATAAAACCACATAATAACTCCTCGTTCTGTGACAGGTGAACACACCTGTCAGGCATAAGATTCTACAAATACTTCTGTATTGCACCTCCACGCAAATGTTGTTCTTAGATTTAGAGTGTACATGTTATTTATTAATGGAACGTGCACTACTCTTACACAACATCAGTCTCACTTTTGCAGTTTACAGTTACAAAGTTTTTTCTTTGTTTTTTATCACTGTTGCATGTGTATATTTTTGCAGGCTCTCATAGGGTTTTTGCAATATCTGTGCTTACTAAACATTTAACACAACATCTTTAAAAGGTGGTAATATGCTGGTGTTTGCATCATATTCTACTATCCTTAAGCCCTTCCCACACACACACAGGTATTTTGGAAAACAGTTTTTTACATCAGTTTTTGGCCTTTTGTCCACAACCATGTTTTAGGTCACTGAAAAGAAGTCTTGATGCATATGCTCAATCATCCAGGTAAAGAAATCTCAAGAAGCTACGTCCACATGAACAGAATCAACTTTTTAGGGTCACTGAAAAGCGTGGATGTTTCATGTGGATGGGATGGTCTCTTAAAACAAAAGCAGAAGCTCCTAGTTTAAAAAAATATTCTCATAGATGTGGGTGTAGATGTGGTCAGAAAAGCAGCTTTAAAACAACACGTAATCATTCTCTTTTGCATCCAAGGCTATGGTAAGTTCCTCCTGTAGCCTCAGGGAGATCAAAGTGTTAACCTTAAGCTTTTTTGTGAATATAAACTATAAAGTAGCGTGATGAGGAGACTTTATTCCACAGGAAGCTGAAAAACGAGCACTCAATTCAAAACACAAAAGGCCTGATATACAGCTTGCAGGTACCTTCTCTGCAGACTAGAATCAAAGATACTCTGTTAAAGATACACCGAACGAGAGGGGGAAAAGTTGATTTATGTTCTGTTACACCTCGGTTTATTGTTAACATTTTATGCCCCTCTTGTTTTATTGTTTTGTATCCACATCATTCTGTGTGGTGACTGTATTTCATAACGAGCGCCCTGGATTTACGCTGCTTCTCACACGGTTACAGTCCCAGGGTTTTAAGTCGTGTTTATTATTTTAGGGTTCTCTGTTTGCTTTCGCTGATGTTTTAGTGCTCTGTGTGTTTTGTATTACTGTTGGTTGAGTTCTTCATTCCTATTTTTCATTTCTTTATTATTTCAGTCTCAGTGCTGAATGCGTTGATTTTTAATAGTTTTATTTCTGTTCCTCCCCTCATATCTTGTTGTTCTCACCTGTGCTAAGCGCGCTAACCTGTGCCTTGTTTCCCACCTGTTTCCTGTGTAATCAACCCTCTGTGTATAAATAGTCCTGTCTTTTCCTCTGTCTAATTTTCAGGTATGTGTTATGGTTCCTGTGTTGCCTCTGTGATTGCATTTATACTTTTTTATGGCCTAAATAAAGTTCTATCTTTTAAGTCTGCATCCTGCACTCAGACAAGGAGTGCAGAGGACTGAACAGACTTCAGTGAACGCTCCTGAAATCCTAACTTAACCACTCAGACGAAAGAGTGAGTGGTCTTTGGATGTATTTGTTTTATTCAGTTGTCAGCTAGACGAAACGAAACTCTTGAAACTTTTTATTCTGGGAATCAACACGACTTTTGAAGGAAAATCATAAAGCAGCGTTTGTGTGAGACGTGCTGAAGATGTTTTCCTGACAGTCCAGTTTTTGCAAAACCGAAATTTTTGTACAAGACGTAAGAAAAACTGGCCCCCGTGTATCACGTCTCATTATCTTCTTAGTCTGCTGAAAACATCCCAAAAAACGACACACTCATTTACTGTGTGCTATTTACTGGGTATCTGCTGCTCTTTCACAGTGCCACAAAGCAGCAGCATAGCTATCATAAAAGATACTGTGGTTCACGCATAGCTGCAGAGACAGATAGTTGGTTAACTAATACAGTATTAGACATTTTTAGAAAAATTGCATTTGGTTTTGTGTTATTCTTTTGGTTCTGATGCAAAAAAGACGCAGACCGACAGCCAGTTAACCAAACACAGGTCTCTGAACTCCACGAGGAACCCGGGAGTACCGAGAGAGAACCCACAAAGATACAAGGAGAACATGCAAACTTGACACAGAAAGGTCCCAGCATGGGGCGACAGCGCTAACTCCTGCAACACTGCACTGCCCACTTATTCAATATATGTCAATAAAGTGGACCTATGATGTTCTACCTCATGTTTCAATCGTATATGTATATTACGAGAAATGAACGTCCAAGCATTCTCCGGCGAGGGATCTCTTGTTTATGATCTTTTGATTCATCATAAACTTGATTTTCTGTTTAACGGAGACCTGGCAGCGGCCCAGTGACTTCTTCGAATTTGTTTACACCTGTCAAGCCCGTGTATCTAGATGTGAGGGTGGCGCCGTCTGTTCCTACCCATTCAAAATATGAAATCACGATGATACAAATCAATGGACCAATTCCCACAATCTCAGCTGCTTTTTGCTGCTTTGCTAACCCTAACCCTACCTAAGCCCAACGCTGACCTTTTAAATGATTTTTCTGATTAGAAAATCGTGGGCATTTATATTAAATATGACCAAAGATTCAAATAATGAGGACATTGTATGTAAAGTAATTCCTGTGAGCTCTGTCTTCAATCTGCTCTACAGATTAGGTTAATTATGAACCATGACTAAGACTCTATTAAAGTACAAGCATGAAAGTATGGATCTGAAAAGAGGATCATGCATTGATAATTACAAGGGTGTCAACCTTTCTGGTCTTTGTGTTATAGTGGTTGCTGTTTGACACAAGCACTAAAAAGAAAAGTGTATATATTCAAATGACTTGGTTTTGTCTAACAAACAGCAGAGAAGCTGCAGAAACAAGACAAAATAAAGTCAGCACGTAGAGATATTCAAATTCAAACGATTGAAAATCGACTTGTCAGTTGAGTTTCTGTCAGCTAGACTATTTATCATGTAAATATTTCACCTATGACACCAGCTCAGGGTATCTCTGCCAGGAAGGTGAAATTATCTTAAAATCAGATAATCCCAAACTTGTCAGACTAACTGTAAGAAAACCCAAACAAAGCTGGGCTTGTATGTTTCTGGGCCGTGTGCCACAGGTGGTTTTCAGGTGGCATAACCAATCCCTACTTTCATCGTTCATTCTTCACATACTCACATGGTGACACATGCCTTACATAGCTTATACACTCATGTGCAGAGGTCACCAAACAGTCTCGATTTGTATGCAGGGTGTACCTTAGGGTATCTCGTCAAATTTTAAATGCAGTTTAATGTCTGTTTAGCCTGTTTTTTGTGGGTTGTTTATTTTGTTGCATGAACCAACAGGTGTGTGTGGTGCTGTACTGACCCAGCAAAAGGATTTTAATCTCCCTCCTCTCCTTCTTCTTCTGTTGCTTCAGGATCCTCTTGATCTCTTTGTCCACAGCAATGGTGTTCTTCTCCTCCTCGGACAGACAGCACACGCAGGTGCTGTAGCACCACCGCCCGCAGCCGGCCATGGCCAAAAACACTGAAATCAAACTGTTAATGCATTATTAAGTAGCCAAAGGAGCTTGCAAAGAAAAGCGTCTGGACTTCTTTAAGTTGCTTGAAGACGTTTCACCTCTCATCCGAGAAGCTTCTTCAGTTCTAAGGTCAAATGGTGGAGAGTCCCAGATATAAACCTAGTGGGAGTGACCCCCCACAGAGGGACAAAAGGACTGCCATCTATAATCCAGTTTTGAGATCCCTTCCCAGACGCCTTAACGCCCACTCACATCCTGGGCCATCTGACCTCAGGAATTCGCATGACAAGGTGAGGCCAGGTTTCACAATGAACCCACCTGAAACTCTGGCTGATTGGGGCCCGCACCCAATTTCACACCTTGGCTCAGGTGATTAGAGGATCATCAGGGGGTCCTTTTGTCCCTCTGTGGGGGGTCACTCCCACTAGGTTTATATCTGGGACTCTCCACCATTTGACCTTAGAACTGAAGAAGCTTCTCGGATGAGAGGTGAAACGTCTTCAAGCAACTTAAAGAAGTCCAGACGCTTTTCTTTGCAAGCTCCTTTGACTACGATGACCTGGATGACTGAGAACCTTCACAGACATTAAGTAGCCAAGCACCCGCAATAATAAACTCACTGTTAGGCAGCTTGATGTCTGTTTGCTCTTCAGTGGTTTTTACTTGCTCACTGACACGCCAGTGGTCTTTATTTGCAAGTATGCCGACCGAAGGTTAACTTTAAAGGCTGTTTCATACTTTTATGTACGCTTCATTATGAAACTCGCCGGTCAGTTCGGTGAGTAAACACTACAGCACCTTTGTCACTAAGAACTTTTCCTTTTCGTCTTTTACAAGAGAAACAAAATGAATCTCTCACCTCCAATCAGCCTGTCACACTCCCTGAAGACGAGCAGGTACAGGTTCAGATTTCTTTTCCCGGGCCATTTTCCCCTCCCTCAGCTCTGCACCTGCTGACAGCGGCTAACAGCTGCCGTGGCCCACCAGCAGCTTCATTAGCTCCCACTGACTTTAAACGCCTTTTTTTCCAGCCCACACGGAACAACGTCCAGTTCGGGAAAGTCCACCGCGCCTACGCAGGAATGTGCCGCCTCCCCGAGCCGCTCCAAAAACCGCGACTGGAATGCTGCCCGAACGACGCCGCCACAAGACAGCGGCAAACGACGGCAGAAGCGCCGGAAGATAGAGGTTTGGACGTACAAAATAAAAGCATGTCGTCGCAAGTTGCATTCAAACGTGAAAGATTAAATTGAAACCCGAATTTTTTTTATATTTTCCTGCTTCATGCATGTGATTTCTTCTTCACTCATCTTTTTCCCCACTCATTTTACCAGTACACTACTCTGCATTTAATAATTAGTTATTGCTAACGTCTGACTCTTTTGTCTGTCCGCCAAAGGTCTCTTCCTGTTAGAAGTAAGTTTTTCCTTCCGACTGTCGTCGAGTGCTTTCTCATAGGAGGTCATTTGATTGTTGGGGGTTCTTTACCTTATAATGTAAAGTCACCCAAGTAGACTGTTGTTGTGATTTGGCGCTATATACATAAAATTGAATTGAACTGATTCCAGTGTTATTCATTTGTTTTGTAGCTGTTACTGTTGTCCATGCTTAATAACCTATAGTAGACAAATATCGCCCTAAAGGAAAATTATATGTGAATTATGTGTGATTAATACTGAAGAAAGATCTGTAAAAACTACATATGTGAAATATTTGGGAGTTTGTAACACCATTACCACCATGGTCTCCTGAGATGCATCACATTTTGATATTTCGCATACAACATATGCATCGTCACTGGGTACAGTGTAAAAATGATGCTTGCACATTAATGCATTAATACTAATAATAACACTAACATTATACATAATAATACAGCTCTGAACATTTTCTACATTTAATGCATTTAATGATATGTAATGTCTGCAGTTAATAATTGATTGGTGTCTATTGTTAAAAAATAAAAACAAAAAAGTATTCTTGTATTCTTAGCTCCTCACTGGATTTCCAAACTTCTCACCTGATTAGTAAATCCATCCACCCTGCAAAGGAAACTTCTGGTCATTAGACAAATTACACAACCACAGGTAAATGCAGGAATTTAGGCTGACTGGTATATCAAGATTTTTACGTTTGCCTGGCTCTCTTATCACGTCCAAGGTATTGTAGAGTGACTTTGCAGTGGATTTCATGGTCGCTTTGTTACTCATAAAAAGTACCATGAAGTACTTGAACTCCTTCTCTTCTCCTTCATGGAGCAAGCCGTTGTTTTCCAGAGGAGCAGAGTGACCTAAGATTTAGGGATGCTGCTCAGCATTCCAGCTGCAATCCCAAAAATCACGTTCATAATTCACGTTCAGTTCCAAGATCAGGACCCATGTTAAACATCTGTCCACAACACCTGTGGTTGTGGTGACAACACTGATGACCATGAAATTGTGAGCTTGGGATGCTGACTCCACACATGGCAAAACAGCCAAACTTATTCTGTGCTCTGCTTCACCTGATTCATTGCTGTTACTGACCACTCCTTGGGTATATTGTTCTAGAGTAAACAACTTTGTCACGAGCCTCACAGTTTGGATCGTGCATGACATTTACACCTGTGACAGAGTACACAGTATGACAAATGCTTCCAAAAACCAATGCATGTGATAACAAAGAAGTGCAATGTAAAAATGTTTGCCTATCGTTTAATTACACCAGCTGAGGTTGATTTAATGTTCTTTTAATGCAGGCATAAAAATGCTTTGCGTGAAAAATACCCCACACACTGATATTCTTACTCTTTTATTTTTACTCTATTTACTCTATTTCTTTTATGTGTATTTATTATAATTTTATTTTTACAGTGTAGTATGGTTTCATGTAATTGAAAGTTGTAAATCTTCTCTATGCAATGTGGATTTAAAAGCCCAGCAAGGGACAAGGGTTTGAAATAAGCAATAGCTATAAACTCTGGCAGCACATTCTTATCATGCTCCATATAGGAACTATGCTAAACTGCATTGCCCCTTTTGAATATATAAACTGAAATAGAACTTTAGAAAAGCAGGATGAGGAGTGGGCTAACAGTTATAAACAATAAAATTCTTTTTTTTTAAATTTTTATTCGACATTTTTATTTAAAACTGCAGGAGAACCTTTGAGCTTGTTGTGCAGACGCTATTATTATGAAAATACATAACCGGAAGTTAGCTCTTCTTTTTCATGTCTGTTTTGACTGTTTTCAAAGAGTCCGCGGATAAAGTTTCAGCTACCGCAGAGGCTCCACGGCTTCATGTTTCACATGAGCTGGGGGCAATCACTGACTCACAGACTTTTACTTTTTACTCATTTATTTTTAATAACCAGATGTTATATTTTAAAAAAAAAAGAAGCTTGTTTTACACTTCTACATTTCAAAATGATTTAGAGAACTTTTCATTAAAACTATTCAAATTCATTCATTAAAACAACCAAATCCAAGCATTTTCTTTTTATCAGGTTATGAAAAAACGAGAATATTATTGTGAAAATTTAACATCTAAATTATGACATGTAATAAAATGGTTACAGGTCTAGTACAATACAAAAGAACACACGCAAAGTACTCCAACCGTCAGGAATCCGTGTAAGGCTCAGTGATTCAGTGATTTTTCACCGTGCAAAGGTTTTTCAGAGTAAAGATGAAGAGGGCAGCAGGTTTGTCACTCCTCTTCTTGGCTGCTGTTTGGATGTCCAACTTTTGTCTCACCTGGCAGAACCGGTTTGTCCAGCTTTCACGGTTTCATATATTGAGATCACCTGAGCCCCACGTTGCCATGGCAACGATGTGAGGCGAATATGGGGTCTTTAGTGTATATGTGTATGCGTGTGTTTTCAATTACAGCAAGTAATTAAAGCTTTAATATATGTAATGCATTTTATTTGCTTCTAATAGGCTGGACTTTTACAGAGGTGTTGCTCTGTAAACAAAGCCCTGCCATACTTGTCATCTTTTGTGTGTTATGTGCGACTGTGTTGTAGCTCTTCTTCTTGACATTTGTGTGTTTATTAAGATGATAATGGTGCAAATATTGTTTTGAAGAACGCCTTTTGTAGGCTTTTTTCCCCCCTTTTCATTCCCCTTCCTTTATATAATTCTCTAAAATCTCTGCCAACAAAGATGTGTTTAGTGAGAATTTAGGGAGAGAAAAAAAGGAAAGGAAGACAGAATAGAGGAGCAAGGAACAAGAGAGAGAGAACACAAGAGAAATGAGGAAAGAAAGCGGAAAAGGTAAAACGGTGGGGAATTATGCGCAAAAAGTGGGCGTTGAATGACAGTAACAGGAAAACAAAACAAAAAAAACCCTTCCTCGTGCTTCCCGTTACAGGGATTTAGACATCTGTAGTGTTTACCTGCTGGCAGAGATGGATCCAGATCTCTTAGTACAATGGAACACTTTGTGTAGAACCTGTATTATTTATGTGCTTGCTTGTTTGTTGTACATGCAGCGGCAGTAACACAGACTCTATCCCCATGTCACCGGCTGCTGAGGGAAACACGAGATGATCAATGATTAATCTGACAGCATCTATCAGACAGTGTGTCACACCAGAAACAATAGAGCACCGCAGGCAGCTTCTCATCAGGTTAACATCACTCCAAACAGGAGTCTCTGCACACAGCGTGGCGTATTATTGTTTATGGGGTTAAAAAAAAAGCTTCTCTTCATTGGTTCCCTATAAAATACAGTGTGAAGTTTTAAATCCATCCACATACAAACTTTTGAATAATTAGGTCCTGTCATATTTTAAAGACCTCATGGTTATCCTAACAGACCACTTTCCTCTCAGACTGCAAGCTTACTTGTGGTATTTGAGGCTTCAACTGTCATCAGACTCCTCTTCTGTAAAACCAGCTCCCAGTTTGGATTTAAGAGACAGTCACCCCCTCTACTTTTAAGATTAGGCTTAAAACCTTTTGGTAAAACATATGGTTCGGGCTGGATCAGGTGACCCTGAACCATGCTGCTAGGAGACTTCCCATTATGCACACCGATCTCTTCATCTCCACTCCCTTCTATTCACTTTTATTTTATTTGCCACTGCACGTCATTAACTCTTGTCTTCTTCCTTCCATAGTTTGTGTTTTGTCCTTTGTCTTTCTGTGTTCTCTTTTTTTCTCTTCTCTTTCCCTTCACCTCCAGTCAGCTGTGGCAGATGGCCGCCCCTCCCTGAGCCTCGTTCTGCTGGAGGTCTTTTCTTGCTAAATGGGAGTTTTTCCTCCAAGTGCTGCTCATGGGGGATTTTCTGATTGTTGGGGCTTTCTCTCTAATGTTGTAAAGTCTTTACCTTGCAGTATAAACCACTTCAAGGGGACGCTTGTTGTGATTTAGCGCTATGGAATTAAAGTTGAACTGAATATTTTTTATATTTAATATACTTTATTTATTATGTCTTACACTCCTACTGAACATCATGCAGATTTTTTTAAGGATGGTGCAAATATATACTAATTTCTGGGACTACATATTTACTCCTTCAGTCTGCATGCTAAAGTGTGTGTGTGTGTGTGTGTGTGTGTGTGTGTGTGTGTGTGTGTGTGTGTGTGTGTGTGTGTCTGTGTTGGTG